AAAATTTTAATTTTAAAATAAAAACAAATCTAACAATTATTGTTAGAGACAAAAGGAGTAATCTTTAAAAACAACTGATAAAATCCCGAACCACCTTAATAATTAAAGCGGGATCTAGACTTATGTTTTGAAACTCCTCACTGTTTTTGAGTTGAAACCAATATTTAACCAATCACCTTATAAAATTATTAGATTCTAACATTTAATTTTATAATATGATATTTTTAGTTTTTTACTTTATAAATTTGGTAAGTTTTAACCCCTCATCTTATAAAGTTGATAAATTTTAGTTCCTTATCTTATATAATGACACTTTTAATCTCTTATTTATACAAATTGAAGAAAATAACTCTTATTTAACATCAGATTTTAATGTTTTATTAGTTAACTGTTAGTTCTGTTAGTTGACTGTCAATTTTATTAGCTGACTGTTAGTTTTGTTAGTTAACTGTTAGCATCCGTTAGCATCCATTAGCATTTTATTAATGAAATTACAAATAAAATTGAATTTAAATTTCATATTTTTTATAACAAAATATTAATAATGTTAACAGTCAATTAACAAAACTAATAGAATGTTATAACTTGATGTTAGGTGAGGATTATTTTCTTTAATTCGTATCAATGATGGGTTAAAAATATCATAATATAAGGTAAAAGAGTTAAAATCTACCAATTTTGTAAGATGATGGGTTAAACTTATTAATTTTGTAAGATAAAGAATTAAAACTGTCATATTATAAGGTAAAGAGTTAAAATTTATTAATTTTATAAAGTAAGGGATTAAATGTTGGTTTTTGCCCTGTTTTTGTTGCCATTGACGAGGGACTTGAAGTCAATAAACATAAGTGGTCATAACATATTCGCCGAAAATTCGGGCATTTGGCATTGCTTGTTCGGGCGCTGATGATTTTGGTGGAAGATGAAAGAAAAACTGTACTTAAAAAATAAAAGAGATTTTTTCTATTCTGATCATGAAAGGGACAGAATGGTTCCTGTAACTGAAAATTTTTACTCGTCAGTTTCGGGTAGCTTTTAACATCCAATTTATAAGACGTGCAAACTAGGATAAGAATTAAATTATTTGGGAGAAAAACAAAATGAGTTGGAAATTAATGGTGGAAGTACCATGTATGGGAAAATTTTAACTTCTGTGTAGTTTTATTATCATTTTCCTGTATCAGTAACAATTGGGCCCGCAGTTGGCCTCACTGCATTGTTTTTGCCCTTAGCCAATAATTCAACACCTACCCATCGCATTCCCAGCGTGGTTGCAGTGGGGGTCACCCTTCTTCATAGTGAAAAGTAGATGAAAAGCACCTCGATCGGCAGGTTGGGTTTTAAATTTAATTTTTTTCGAACAGATTTTAATTTAATATTATATTTTTT